ACCCAGCAGTGAGCAAGGGTTTTGATTTCTCCACATCCTTGTCAGCACTAGTGTCTTATCTTTTTGATTGCTCTCATTCACATGGGTACAAAGTGGTCTGTCATCTCCTTTTGTTTGATTTGCATTACCCTGATGGGTGACTACCGATGTACCTGTGATTGCTTATCTTCTTTGGAGGAATACTTCGAATCCTTTGCCCATTTTTATATTGGATCACCTGTATTTATTGTTGAGTTGCCAGCATACTTTCTGAACATCAAACCTTAATCAGCTATATAATTTGCAGATATTTTCCCCATGTCTTTTCATTCACTTGATAATGCTTATTGAAACAAAGGTTATACATTTTGGAGAAATGGCTATTTTTTTCCTGGTTGCTCGTGTTTTTGGTTGTCATATTTAAGAAATTACTGCCTAACCTAAGGTCACAAAGATTTACACCTGTATTTCCTAATGTTGTATGGTGCTAATTGTCTCATTTGATCTTGTTTGAGTTAATTTTATATATGATGTGAGGTGGGGTCTGACCTCATTCTTTTGCATGTGGCTGGCCAGTTGCCCAGCACCAGTTGTTGGAAAGATCGTGCCCCCCGCCCCAACTATCTTGGCTCATTTTCCAAAATCAGCTGGTCTTCAGTGTTTGGGTTTATTTTTGGACTGTTAATTCTATTTCATTGATTTTCCTTTTGTTTTTGTTGTTCTAGCCTATGCCAGTGCCACACAGACATCATTGCTAGTAGGTTTTACGGTAAGCTTTGAAATCAGGAAGTCTTGAGTCCTCAACTTTGTTTTTTTCCAAGATTGTTTTGGCTTTTCTGGGGCCCTTTCCGTAGGAGTTTTAGGATAACTTCAGTTTCTGCAGAAAAGCCAGGAAAGATTTTTGTGGTAATTGTGTAAAACCCGTTGATCACATTGGGGAATATAGATATCTTAATAAAGCATCTCAGCATCTCCCAGTGTCCTCTGGATGTTTTCCATTTATAGGTCTTTAATTTTTTTGAAAGTCTTTTGTAGTTTTCAATGTACAGGTCTTGCACTACTTTTGTAAATTTATTTTTAAATATTTTATTGTTTTCGATGCTATGAATGAAATTGTTGACTTCATTTCTGATAGTTCATTGTAGTATATAGAAATACAATGTTTTTGCATATTGAAATTATGTAATGCAGCCCAGACTGGCCTTGAACTCATGGCAGTCCTCCTACCTCAGCTTCTTGAGTGCTGGGATTACAGGCATGTGCTGCCATGCCCAGCCTTCATTTTGAAATTATATCCTGAAGTTTGCTGAATTTATCTGTTGGTGCTTACAGTTTTGTGTGTATGTGTGTTAGGATTTTCTGAAACAATATCTTCAGATAGAGATTGCATTGTTCATTCCTTAACAAGTTGCCACAACCTTCTGTTTCTTTCTCTTGCCCAACTATTGGATGCGATTTTAATCATCTTTAAACGCTTAATGGTTTGTACAGAATAATGGCCCAATGACTTTACTGAATATCTGACTTTGGTATTAAAACAACTGTTTTCACATGCAGCTGAAATTGCTTATGTTTAATTTGAGTTGCTTTAGTCCTTCTCATTTGGGCTCTTGTGTATACCAAGACAAGGGGAGGCCCTGTGTGCTTGAGCACGGTCCTAAAGGAAGTTAGTGGGAAAGTCTCACCTTTCACCTATTGCCTCACCAGCCTGGTGTCTGGGAGTCACCTGGCCGTTCCCAGTTCAGAGGAGCCAGCAAGTCTGTTTGCTGCAACTCCAAACTCCTTACCTGCCCCTGTCAGCAGGCTGTGTTTGGGTGGCTTCTTTCCAGAAGCATTACCTTGATTTGCTGCTCATTTACCTAGTGACAAAAGGGCAGTTGTTGGACTCCTGGGTTTTTTATCACCTTGCAAATTTTGGCTTTGCTTTTCCCTGTTGGGAAGGAATGGGGTGTGAGTGCTGCTGGAGCAGTCAGGCTGTCAGCACCTGTGGCTTGCCTTGGCCTGGGTTGCAGCTTGCTGGGTGGAGCCCTGTGCAGTAGAGATTCTGCCGGGCGTGTCTGCCCCCTGTGTGACTTGAGGACACCAGAGGCAGATGGCTCTGCCCTCTCCATTGCCTTGCTCTCTTGTCCTTCACACTCCTGTCCCACCTTTCCCCTGGGGGCCAGGGTGCTACAGCCCAGTGTCCAGATTTCTCCTCCTTCTCTTTCTCCTGCATTGCCTTTGACCTTCATTCCTGTGGTGAGTTCCCGACCCTTTGGCCTTCTTCAGCTTTCTGATTACTGCCCAAGCTGCCACTGTGGCGATGACATTGGGTGTTGGCCTCCTTTTCCACCACCCTGCCTCCTCGATTTTCCAGAACCAGGCTTATTGTTCTGTCTCTTCAAATGATTTGTTGTCCTCTATAGCAGTGTGGGAAGGAGCTTAATTTTTGAAGTGCACAGTTTGCATCTTTATGGTCAGAGCAAAGCAAAGGAGGCTTGATTGATCTTATGACAAAGTAGCATTAGTTATCTCTAGTATGAACTCTCTTAAGGGCTCCTGTTTTATTTGTTCTTTTAATTTATGAACGTCTTCAGGCAACTGGACACAGAGCCAGACAGGCCTCGTCTGCCACATTCAGAGCTTTATTTCTTCCTCCATTACACTGTGAACGGCTCTGTAGGAGTCTGATTCTCTGCTAGATTCGGAGTTGAATTAGGGAGTCACTGTCCGACAGCAAGTACATCTTTTAGGAATTTGTTAATTGGTTCTCCAAAGGAAAATGTACTGTTAGTTCAAATAAGCAGTCCACTACAGGTTACAGAAGAATTGAAAGTAAACATAACGGACTCCTGGATGTGCAAGGAAAGCAGCTGTGCTGAAGCCCATTCTGCTTTCCTGCAGGTCAGAACTGTCGTCCTCAGGCTCCCAGTGAAACTGGAGCAGTAGAGACCCTGTGCTCTGTAGCAGAGGCCAGTGGGAGAGAGGAAAGAGAAAAACGAGGCTGTCTCCAAAGGGTGGACTCACTTTCTTCTGGAGGAGTCCAGAGGGACTCTCACTAAACCACAGCTTGGGTCCCCTGATGCCCACACAATCAGATCAGGCCCTCCGGTGTTGCTCAGTGGCAGAGTGCATGCCTGGCATGCGTGAGGACCTGGGTTTGAGCCCCAGCACTGTACAAAAACAAACCAAAACAAAGAACAACAAGAAGCTCCATTCAGAGTCCGCGTCTTCTGCTCCAGTGGACTGGGACACACTCAGGAAAGTTTCCCTGAAGACAGTTTGTGAAGTTTACTAAATTAATTTTGAGGAGCTTGAGTTTGCCGAGGAAATACATGTATTATTTGAAGGTGGAGTTTGGACTGTGACAGAATAACAGACCAATCTTTCTGAGACACATAGGCTCGTGGGCCGTGAGAAGAGGGACATTGCCTGTGAGTGGCCATGCCAGTGTGTACCTTCTGCTTGGCTTCACAGTGTTCTTGCTCCCCCACATCCCCAGTCCCTGGTGCCCCGTTTGCAGTTGCAGTTTTCATGCCACACTGCATGTGCCAGGGTAAGAACTAAGTTGTACTCTTCTGTGAATCCGCACAGTGCATAGCATGGTCCTCAGAGAATGTTTGTTGAATGTCCAGGGCCAGGTAGTCTTGATTTTGTGATTGCTTCACTTCTTTATTTTCTCTTCTTGTTTTGGGGATAGACACAGGGTCTTACTGTGTAGTTCAAACTGGCCTTGAATTCACTAGGCCAGGCTGGCCTTGAAATCATGGCAATCCTCCTGCGTCAGCCTCCCAAGTGCTAGGATGACAGGCGTGCTCCACTACATCTGGCTTGACTTTTTTTCCAGTACTGGGAATCGAACTCGGGACCTTGCACTTGCCAGGCAGGTGTGGCACCACTGAGCTACATCCCCAGCCCATGACTTTAATTTAAAAGGCTTGCTGCTTGTTTGGAAATAAACTCATTTTGGTTGGCAGAATCAAGGTTGTCATGTCATCCTTTGAAACAATTAGAAAAGAAGGAAGATCTTTTAAAAAATTATTGAAGTCTCTGCTCTATAAAGCATTCCAATTAATACCTAATTTCTTCATTGGAAGATATATTGATCTTATGTCTTCTCCTATAAACCTTCCCTAATATTCCCCATCCATCAGAACCATTTTATTCTCTGAATTTTGTTGTTGTTGTTTGTTTTTTGAGACAGGGTCTTCCTGTGTAGCTGAGACTGACCTGGAACTCACTATGTAGCCCAGGCTGGTCTCGAACTCACAGCGATCCTCCTGCCTCAGCCTCCCGAGTGCTGGGATTACAGACGTGAAGTTTTTTTTTAACGATGGTCTTTCTGTGTAGTTCAGGCTGGCCTTAAACTCTTGATGAGCTCTACTGAGGGCTGGGATTATAAGTGCACCACCTTGCACAACTTCTCTGAATTCTTTCGGTGACTTCTCTTTGCCTATTTGTGTGACCTTTCTGTCCGTCCATCTGATGGTCCATCCCTCACCCACCCACAGCTACAGAGCATGGTGGCACCCACACAGCTCTAGCATTCCTTCTGTGCTGGGGTGTGGTCTTGGCTTTCCTCTGTGGGAATCTCATCTAAGGAGGATTTGGGAGAACTAGTTTGAGTTGAGGTGTATGTTTTAGAATGTGAAAAATTTAAGCTGAAAATGGTACTTACGATTTTTAAGGGTTGTGGGGGAAAAAAACAAAAGCAAAGCCCAAGAAATATGCGGTGGAGATGGGTCTGCATGGCCTACAAAGTCTGAAACATTTACCACCTGGCCCTTTATGGGAAAATGTTGTTTCTGCTCTGGGTTAGCATACTGGGTTGAAGGAGACAGAGAGCCAGAGTCTCCCTGGGACAGAATATTTAGACTGTAATGGGTCTGTTGGCCTGTGTGTCACATGGCCCTGTGGAAACATCGGCCTGCCGCAGTGACCAGGCACTCGTGACACAAACACGTGTGGGAGCAGCCTTTTCTTCTTTGAGATTTACATGATGTGGAGCCCAGTATCTTTACCTTTGCCTCTCTGTCTCGCTTTTGTGTCTTGAGGTCACTGGTGAGTACAGGGCAGTGGCTTGGGTGGCCTGAATGGAGCTGGGCTAAATGGAGCCGAGTGTGCTGTGGGGCTGGGGTGGAGAACAGAGTAGGGGAGAAGGGCCAGAGGCAGGGGCCAGCAGGGAGTGGCAGTGTGCAGTCTGAGGAGTTAGGAAGGGCGTGCAGCCAGGGTGGTATGTGGTGTCTGTGTTGTCAGACCCATCTCTTGTTTTGCGGCCATCACCTGGGGTTGGTGGTCTTGTGGTGATTCGTTTGTTAAGACCTCCCTCCTTCTCTCCCTCCCTGGTTGTTGTTCAGAGCCAGCCTCCTATTTCTCTCTGTGGCCCTGCTTCCTGTGCTTGTGTTCATGTTTCCTGAAACTGGCTGCAAACTCCTAAGAACAGGAGCTCATTTTTCTTTCTTTTTTTTTAATAAGCCTTTTTTTTTAAAAGCTCCTCTTTTTATATACATGCCCCTATTTTCAAAACACAAAGACAGCTGCCTCATGGAGGCTTAGTGGCTTTATAAAGTAAGATATGGAGTTGTGTTGGCCTTGAGAGTTGAGTCACTGTCTTAAAGCTCATGTGCAGTGAATGATCTCTGTTTCTCAGGACCAGTGATTTCTTTGTAATCATTTTATCACGTCTGAAAAACTGCGTGTGCCTGGGGCTTGTCAGTATGTGTGCATTCCCTCGTTGTTTGTTTGTACACACTGTGTGTCCCTGTATTTGACAAGGAAGTCCACATGTTGTATGTGCCTTGCTTGCTTTGTGTGATGGTCTGTAGAAAAATCTGCAGAGGACAGATAACAGAAATATTCACACGTTACGTCAGAAGAGAGTAGGAGTACTGGTTGCTATTAATATTTCTGGCGTTAGCTGCTGCGGGAAGAGATGCTGCGTATTCATACTAAGCAGATAGTAGCAAGATTGGAGAGAACAGTCCAGATAACAAACAGTCCAGATGAGTAATTCTCAGCTAAAAGCAACAGGGTGAATCTTTTAATACCAGGTTTTAGAAACTCCATCCAGAGTGTTCTTCTGAGATTAATTCATGACACGTGATTGACAAAGAGGTATTCGTTAGCCATATAACCCTTGAATTATTTATCTTGGGAATCCTTTTGAGCGACTCACTCCTGTCTTGTTTCTGTAATAAAAATATGTTCATGTCATCTGTCACAGTGAGTATTCTAGTCTCAGTGCACATTTCTGTTCCTCTTTCCTGCCCACGCACTTGGTGTTATTCTTGAGAAGAGAAAGGGATTTGGACGATAGCTCAGCGATGCCCAGTCCTCGATTCTGTCATTGCAGTCCCCATTTCTCCTCCCTCCTTTGCTTGCTGTGTTTGGGACTTGGTTCTGGTCTGTCTTTAGGGGAAGGACAGTTGGATGGCTGCAGGGGGAGTGAACCAGTTTAGGGCTGATAGACAATGTGTTTGTGTTACGCTCGACAGGAGTTCATCTGTGATGTACAAATGAGCGGTCTCTTTCCATCTGGCCATCACCCAAGCGAGAAATGATGGTGGTGCCAGTAGAACATGGTTTTCTCAGACTCAGGGATGACAGGATGTGTATGTGACCTGGCACACCTACCTACTAATTATTTCTATTGATTAATCCCTAATATATGTAAATTTGTGTCTTACTCGACAGTGAGATGATGAACCATACTCTTCCTAACTAGTGTGTCATAACTGAAACTAGTTTTATTGTAACAGGGGTGATGTGCATTGGGAATTCTGTTTCCTGCTGAGTTTCTATGACATTGCCAGGGCTCTGAAAGTCCTTCTGGGCTGCAGCACCAGAGGTGGCCGTTTTTACCAGAGGCATCTTCTGGAGCAAATGCTGCATGGTTCCGTGTGGAAGGGTGAGTGAGTGGGCTCTGGGCAGCCTGGCACGGCCTGTGCAGACCTTGGTCGATATGTGTGGAGTGAGTGATGGACAAGAGCGCCTTCTAGGGCGGGCACGAACCCTGGAGGTCTGGGTCCCCATGTTCTCCTGCTGGGATCCACGGGCCGAGTACCAAAGCTTTGCTGGTTGTCGGTGTGGGCTTGTATAGAATGTGTGTGGTATGGGGATGAGGTGTCCTAGCCTTGCCCTGAAAGCTGGAGGAACCCTGGTGTGGGCTGCACAGAGTTGTGGGATGATTGCATTGTTTGCCCTCCATTGAAGGTCTGCCTGTCCTCTTCAGCATGGAGGTTGGAGCGTTTACTGTTGTGAGTAGGGCACTGAATTCCTGGGAGTTCACAGTTTCAGCGTAAACAGACACACAAACAAGCAATTACAGATACAGCAGCAGTTGCTATGACAACAAGAATTCGGTCCTAATCTGCTAGAGTGAACAGGGCTTCTTTGCTCTGGGTCTGGCAGGGACCCAGTAGGGCTGGAGATCCAGGTGGGTGAGTTTAATCTTCCAAGAACCACAGCCTGGGCCCAGGGTCTGGGAGTGGGGGCTCTAGCACCTGCAGAAAAAGCCCTCACTGTGACCGACCCACAGAGGCAGTCGCTGCTTTACAAGCAGCTTTACCTGGAGGCTCAGCCTCCTGAGGGAGGAGGGGTGGGGGAAGTGAGTGGAGCAGCTTCGGAACCTGGTCCGCCCTGCTGCTGAGAATCGAGATGCTAAATATAGTCTCCACAGCTCCTGTGCTACCTGCAGATGCGGGAAGGTAGGGGAAGCTCACTTCCCTCGGGGGAGGTTGTTAGGAACTGCCTGCAAGTCTGATCACGAGGGGCTGTCGGGACAGTGGTGTCCCTGCAGCAGAGCTGGTTCACGCTGCACATCAGCTAGGGCGGGTGGTGCCACCTGGCGTGTGGGGTACAAGGGGGCCCTCGGCTTGCTCCTGCTGCCTGGCTGCACAAGCCCCTCTTCCTTCTGGCGGGGAGATGGTGGTGTGGTGCTCATCTGGCTGTTTGTGGTTCTGGGTTGGTCACTTTCCCTCAGCTGCTTCCTTCCTATTTCTTCTTGTGCCAGTGGAATTTCCTCCTCCTGCCAGTGGGATGGCAGGGAGGAAAAGGCAGTGGTTGGGCTCTTCTCTCTGCTAAAGGGGGTGCTGGGTGACTGTCCCTCCTCCCTCTGTAGCCAGGACTCCTTACCTCCAGGGGAGCAGGTGACAGTTTCCTTCGGCTCCTCCCTAGGATTTCAGCCTCTGCCTTCTTCCTTTGAGCTCAGGCAAGAGGGACCTACTCTAGTGCTCTGTCAGCTTACATCTCACTTTGTTGTGGTGACAGCTTACACTGAACAGGCTTGGCTTTGTGTTGTGACGTGGTCCCTAACCACCTGCGCTGGTTCCCTGTGTGAACTAGCTGCCACCTGCCCTCTGTGCACACTGTCAGGAGGCTGCGTTCTGGCTTGCCCATTTCCTGGCCTGCGGGTGTCCCTGTGCCCATCCTGCTGCTGGAACCACCAGGCCCTTCCCTCCTTCCTGTTGGAGACTTCTTGCTCACTTCAGCCTCTCTGGTGATGTTTGAAGATGTAGTGCCTTTCCTGCAGCAAGGAGGAATTGAGGGCTTCTGCAGCCCTGTCTGAGCTGTTCCCCAACACATTCCTGGCCAGGACCCTTTGGAAAATGGCATCTGTAATCACATGGTTTGCTTCCTGTTGCTTCTCTCCTTCTGTGGATTTTCCCCCGTCTGTCTTCTCTCCATTTCTCCCTGCCTTCTTTCTCTCTATCCCAGGGGAACAGATGTAGGGTCTTGCACTAGCCAAGAGCTCTATCACTCAGCTACATTGCCAGCCCAGGCTGGCCTCAAACTTGTGATCCTCCCGCCATGACCTCTGGATTAGCTGAGATTAGAGTCCTGCTACCACACCCAGTTTATTCTGCTGCTTTGGACTCTCCACGGGTTCCTTTTTCTCCATTCCTACAGTGTTCTTCTACCCCTTGTCATTTATCAGCTGAATTATGCATCCATAGTCAGAGTGACTCCTCTGTACTCAGAGATTTAACCCTCAATGTTGAATTTAAGACTCACTGGTGGCCTTTCTGTCCTTGATAGTGAGCCGACTCTGACCCACAGCTCTGCGGCGCTCACCTCCCCCTGGGCCCCAGCTGACCGGGGCCATCTTCTTACCCCTGGTCATCTGCCTGACTCTCCCTCTTCCCTCTGAGACCCTCCCTTCCCACCTGGCCAGTGAGGCTTCCCCTGGCCAGCTCCTGCCCGGGCTTCCTTGATAACCCTCACTACTCCTCACCTGTTACATTGTTTCCTTGTTCCATTTTTCTTTTCAGTCTCTCCTCCACCCTGTGAGATCATAGCTTCACAGGAGCGCGGCCTCGATCACATTTAATGAGGTTTCTCTGGCACGCTGCTCTGTGCTGGTGCATCACACACACCCGGAGAGGGTTCATCAGGTGTGTAAAAGTGTCCTGCAAATACAGCTGTGATGGCAGAGAAGGAAGCACTGCGTTCCTGGGAGCTGTGGCTTTATAAGTTCCTTGAAAGCTTGTTTTCTGGCTGCAGGGACTTGATTCTTATACAATTACAATTTGAAAGCTGAATTACAGAGTGTAGATGCTTCAGAAAGTAGGACTGGGTCTCACCTTCTGCAGAAGGGAGAGAAGATAGAACTTTAGATGGATGTGTCTACAGCTGCAGCTTTGGTGGAGTCTTCTCATCTCCAGAGTGCGGCCAGTCTCTGCTCCTCATTCCTTTTACTGAGTCAGGCCCAGGCAGTTCGTCATTAGAGAGATTCTGAGATAGTGCTTTAAATGATCTGACTCATCCGGCCATTGTCCAGGAGGGCAAAGGGCGGGGAGGGTCACCCTGGCTGGTGGCTTGGTGATAGCAATCGACATCCTGTGACAATCATAATGGAGGCTGGTATTATGTTGGCGCTCTGAAGAGTCTATCAGATAGTGGGAGCAGAGAAGCTGTCACTAGCACCTTCTCTGCCACCCATTTTCCTGTTCCTAGATTGTCTTGTGGAAACCTGTTTTTGTCAGTGTGAAGGCCTGTAAAGTCCAGATCACAGGATTACCTCAACGAGAGGCTTTGATGCTCTTTGTGCCTGTATCTCTGTA